CTTCTCATTATCATCTTATATCATTAGTTACCATTACATCATACTGTACTAGATTCAATAACAAACTTAGCATGTTCAATACCTTACGAAAGTAAACATACTTCTCAGTATCATCTTATATCATTAGTTACCATTACATCATACTGTACTAGATTCAATAACAAACTTAGTATGTTCAATATCTTATGAAAATAAACATACTTCTCAGTATCATCTTATTTTTTCTATCTAACTATCACAAAACATTTTGTAATAGTTATACAACCTTGCTAACAGAAAACAATAGGTGTTGTTCATGCAGCTTTAATGTTCTAAAATGCTTTGATCACTTCATGTACACACATAAAAAATCTCACTAAGAAAATTTATTATGAAATAAAAAAATTAAATAAGACCAAAATTTGACTAAATTAATGCACAATGACTGATTTGCTCTTAGGATTAGAGCTTACACATAACAACTATAATTCATAAAATATAATCCTAAAAAACCTCAAAATAAAAAGAGTTATGGGTAACCAAAACTTTGATGGTGAAATAAAATACAACATAACAGGTAATGTAATGCAGATAAAATACGTTCCACCAGTTGAAATCAACCTAGAATGAATACTTGGCTCACTCAGGACATGCATGTGAACTTCCCTTGAAAAAATTACAGACCACTTTAAAGAAAGCTTCAAGACTATTAGTCTAGCTGAAATGGAAGTCCCTTGTCTTTACCAACTGGAACAAGTCTTTCCTGCAAAACACTACACACCATGTTGACTTCCCTACATTCTTATGAAGGCAGGTCTCCACTAACAGATTTACTCTACACCTGTATCTTAATCTCATTTAGATCTCCAGCAGCATCAAAGTTGATCATTTCACTGTATCTAGCCATCACAAACAAAACCACGATGCCAATGATAATACCCAAGTTCTGCAAGAACAAAACTCTCAGTGTTATTTTCAGTCCTTCTTGGGTGGCTGCTTCAGCTGCCTCATTTAGCTCTCCCATCTGAAATTGAAGAAACACCCCTTTTAAATATTTTTTTTTTCAACTATGTTTTTACCAGTTTCTCAACAAATCTGCTGTATAACTGTGACAGTCTTGTTCTTTTCTCAATCCTCTGATACACTTGATAAAAACATTTATTAAGTCATAAAGTATAAAACGTCAACTAAAGAATGAAATAAAATACATACACAAATAGTGTTTGTGGGTTAGGCTTAGAAAAGTAACAAGATGTAAAATAGAAAGTTTTAGGAATTAAAGTAAGACTTTCATTCTATGTGTTACAAAATATGCTGAGTAAGACAGTATAAGCTGAAGAATCTCTAGAATTAAGTAGTTAAGGTAAGTAAGACCAAAACAATGTAACTCTAGTCTTGTTAAATTCAACAATATGCTAAAACCCCAGAAACCTCACCACCAAAGTTAAGATAGTAACAACAGTCATTGAAAACTGAAGTTAAGCTAAATATAGTAATAAGACAAATAGACTGACATTTATGATTAGAGAAGTATCATGTAACTGTTTTATTAACAAGCTATTATAGCTCTAGTTGATCTGTACCCTATTATTGTACACTTCTGGTTACTAGTTAGAGAACTCATGACCATACATAGGAAAAATGAAATACTACAAAACTTATGATACTTTTCAGAAAAACAGTATAAATACATCAAAATGTATTAAAATAAATTAATCAAAAATCCACACTATTAAAGATTAATTTTGTCTTAACAATCTGTGAAGAAGAGATTTATTTAGTTTAAAGAAACACACTAAAACCTACAGTTTCATTATTTCCAGTGTTATACAATCTATATACAAGACACTGCCTCTGTTCTCTTTAGTTATAGTAGACCGGTATACAGCTTTTAAATTTTACTGGGATTAGTGACCATTACAAGGGTAGTTTTACCACAAGAAACACTGAATTGTGTATATACAGTATTTAAATTTTACTGGGATTATTGACCAATACAGGGATAGTTTTAAAACAAGAAACACTGAATTGTGTATATACAGCCTTTAAATTTTACTGGGATTAGTGACCATTACAAGGGTAGTTTTAAGAAATGAACTTACTATCTCTACTAAAAAAGGGATACTTGGATCAATAGCATCTTAAGTATCCATATGAAAGTTATAATTTTCCTATACTGAAAATGTATTTCCAATAGGTACATGCCTCCTCTCACCTAAATGGTTATTCTTATTCAGCGCTGCCCTCTATATGCAATATTTTCATGCATGCCACAAGCCTTTTATCTCCTCTCAATTGGAATTGCCTGATTCCAATGCATCTCTCATGCAAATCATCACGCGACAACCCTCCACCAATAAGAGTATGACATACTCTCATGATGCATGTGACTCCCTCTATTCAATTCATAAATAGCTAGAATCCCACAATGAATAGGTGGAGGGATCATTGTGAGGGAAAGAAAGAAGCATCCTTTGAAAGTGTCCGAAAAACACTCCCTAAGATGAAACAGTCAGATCCTAAAATCTGATGTGGGGACCACACCACTTCTGAACCAGGTATACTCTTCGCCCATCATAGGAAGATGTCGCCCATATGGGTGGAAAAACAGAGAAGCACATCCAAGTGGGAGAGAACTAAGGTCAGATAGTGATCTGAACCATACAATATTTATGAAACTCTATCCCAGAAAATATAAAAGTGGGTAAAATGAAAAGGATGCGCCTAGGCATAAAGTGGCTAGGGTGTGATGAACCTTACACAGCAAGTCAACTACATCCAAAACTCAGGCTTCCAGGAACTGACATCAATGTGGGGGTAGGATGAGGATCATACTGTCGCTAAGTCAACCAGAATCTAAAACCTGGCTATTGGGTACCAAAATCCACGTGGGGGGTAGGAAAGAGGTTCATACTGTCTTCACCTCAAGTTCATGAAACTAGAGGGAATCAAGAACCCCCCCCAACCCGTGAACGGGGCACATATGGGGGTTAATATAAGAAATCAATAGATTGATTCGGGAACACAACATCCAGTACAAAAAGATGTCTGCTTAATGTAAACCATCTATGTCCAAATTGACTGGAAGTGCCCCAAGCATAGTAACATTTTCAGAATAATAAGAATTGAGGAATAGTGGAAGGGGAAGAACCATAATAATCTGCAAGTACCTCCACCATGACCCACAACACTGATGGAGTAACAAGAGTATAATTGAGGGAGGAATATAGACATCTGTAATACATGTGTGAGGACATATGTTGATTATTTTAACTGTAAATCCAATACACAGCCACTGGGAACTGACATCCATATGGGGGTAGGATGAGGGATCCCAATCAAAGGGGTGAAATGCAATTTTGATGGCTCATTCCTCTTCATTTTTGTTTCATATTGGAGGATATCACATCATCTACACCAGCAGAACACCACCACCCTACTCTCAACTGAATGGTATTAAAATAATTTTTATCTTTTGTTTGTATTTCATTAACCCATTCAGGATGATGTCGCCATGGTCCACCACCCCAATGGCTTGGAACTGGAAAGTAGTAAGGACTCTGAAACTCCACTAGAAAAAGGGGAGTAAAATGTGGTGAGACAGTGCAATGTGTGACCTATTCTTTAAACCCTATTTTTAAAAAGTAGATCATACCAATTTATTCAATACAAGGCATACAGGGATGGGTAGCTATCCTTTTCTGCTTTACCCATGTAGTGCATGGGTGAGTATGGTCTGGGATGGGCAAATATATTAAGCAATTTCATCTTGAGAATAAATCTACAAGCGATCTTGTGGAACACCCTGTCTCTGCAGTGCATGTTGTGTGGCCATGGAAATATAATATGTAAGTCAACATGACCTTACAGTGCAAATCTGATCAGATAAAGAATACCAGGTCAGACACCACTCACCACAGAGTGGGATCCAAACAATGAGTAATAATAATCAGAAGGGAAAAAGGCCCATGAAAAGAAATAAAGAATAATAAAAAATAACTTACTGAAGCCAGAAGAATGGCTACAGGCAGAAGAAGAAAGCATAAAGAGGAAACAATTGCAATCCTATGCAAATAGTGAGAGACGAATGTATTGGGGTAGTCCACATGCCCAACTGAAGAATTTCCTCCAAGGGACAATGAAGATGAGATGCCAATGAAACGGTAAGGAAGACAATAAAGAGGAATAAGCCAATCGAATTAAAAGCCAAACCCAATTGGTAAGGGTGGAAGGAGAAAGATCACGAACAGAGGACAGCTGCCAAGGGTGGGAACATGCATCACGAAAGGACGCCGTGCAGGCAATGTAACAGCGAGGAGCACGTTCAGGACGTAGAAGTCTATTCGGATCAAGCTGAGAATAAAAGTGGGAAATAAAAGGAAGGGAAATCAGCAAAAAGGATGAATTACTCTCACAACCCACTGAAGCTTTGGAGAGGAAAGAACGATCTGGATAAAGGAGAAGATATGTGGAATGATAAAGGGTATTTGAATGAGACCTTCGACATACACAGGCTAAGAGGAGAAGGAAATAAGTCTTAAGGGAAAGGTGACACAAGGAGAACATAGAGAGTGATTCAAACAAAGGCAAAGTGAGGCAGTGAAAGACCCCATTAACAAACCAAACTAGAAGGACAGCCCTCCATGGCGGATGATGAATCCAGAAGGAATGCATCAACAGGGAAAAAGTAGAAGAGGTAAATACCCTATGGTATCGGGAAAACAAAAGGTGTGGGACAAGGCTGCCTGATATCTCAAGATCGAGGAGATAGAAGACCCCAATCAAAAAGCCAAGTGAGGAAATCTGCAATACAAGGAACAGTAGATTGAGCAGGGGAAAACCCTCAACCCAGAAACCAATGGCAGAAAATGTTTGATTTATGATAATAAATTTCCATGGAAGAAAGGAGAATGGAACAAGCCAGAAAAGAAGCTACCCATTGGGACAAGCCAGATCTCCTTGCCAAGGACTGGATAAAAACCAGACACGAAGACAGAGAACAGAAAGGGCTACATGAATCACTGGTGACCGAGGTTGATGAAGAAGGGATTGAGTCAGAGGAAGAGGTAACAGAGGGGTCATTTGGAGCTGAAGAAGCCACAGAAACCATGGCTGAGCTGGCAAGTATGGAGCAATCAGAAGGACTTGACACAGAGTGATATCGATGATAGAAATCACCCAAGGAAGTCAAATGGGAGGATAGACATATAAGTATTTGTTGGTCCAGTCCTGGCTGAAAGCATCAACAGCCAGAGCAAGAAGATGAAAGACAGAAGACCAAAACAGAGGAAATTTGTGGTTTATGGACGTGAGAAAAGCATCGATGAGAGGAGTACTTTACTGAAAGCAAAGCTACTGGAAAATAAGAGGATCAAGAGACCTCTCCACTGGATAGACTTTGTCTAGATGGGAAAGCCAATCTGTGACAAGATTGAAAGCACCCAGAACATGACACGCAATTATATGAATATCTAACATGGTGCCCAAAAAAAGAAGATATAATGTATGAATACAGAGGGATTGAGAACGGGTGCTGCCCTGGTGATTAAGATAAGCAGCCATTTTAGAATTGTCAGAATGGATCATTACCACATGATTTCTGGCCAGATGGAAAAAATTAACCAAAGCACAATGTACAGTGAGAAGCTCCAGGATGTTAATATGATAAGACCTATCGGCCACAGACCAATACTCCAAAGCTTCCTGTTGATTGACCCCCCCCCTCATCTCTGAAGGGATGCAGATCATCGACCAGGAGGAAGGGTAATAATAGCCTTCAAAGGATCCCTCAAAAGATTCCACTGGTCATGAAGAGCCCACTGAAGAGCTCGACCTAAAGGGATAAGGGCTGTCATGGAAGACCACATCCCAATAGCAATATAACCTCATGATCTGTAATCGAGGAAGCAGTAAGAACATGGAGAACTGAAAGCTCCATCAAACAAAGTAAATGAGGAGAAGGTTGGGCCCGACTGAGATAGGTGTTGAAAAAACACATGAATGGACAAGATATTGGGTAGATTGCAGGAATGACTTCTCCAACTTGATTAACCAGCCCACTCGAGCTGCCTCTAGGAGTAGCTGTTGAGTGTGACAGGCGGACTCCTGTTCAGATTGAGCTAATAGTAGCCAGACATCCATATGATGATTAAAGCACAACCCGAGAACATGTAAGTTATGAGCAAATGTTCTGACCACCAGATAAAAAACATATGGGGCCAAAGCAAGCTCAAAGGGCAATGCATGAAACTGATAAACCACCACGTGTTGAACAAACTGAGGATAGGGTCGTAACCAATGAGATATTAAGATATGCAAATAAGCATTCACAATGTCTATCTTGGTAATCCATAAATCTAGAGAAAAAGCCTACCTGAGGGTGAGAAACGACTCTATGATGAAACAGGGCAGATTGAAAAATTGAAAAGGTGGGAAAATCTATTACATGCTACTAGTCTCCAGTTTTCTTGGGGACAACAAACAGCTTGGAATAAAAGCCTGGAGAAAGATGATGAACAGGTTCAATGGCCTATTGAGACAGAAGGTATTTTACCACCTCTGACAGATGCTAACTGGTGGTAGAATCCCGAGGCATGGGGAAGAAAACGAGCACCTGAGAAAAGGGGGGGGGGGAGAACCTATGGATCTGTGGTGAAAGATTGCCAAAGGGGAATAAATTCGTACAAGCGGCTCCTACCAGACCAGAACCCACCAGAACCAGTACTGTTGGCGACATGCCCATCTACATCAAATAATAGGAGGAGATAAGAAACCCCTGGAAGGAGGAACAGGTAAAGGCTGAGAAGGACTAGGATGGGAATCAGGAATAGGGGCTTGGCTCTGACTGACATATGTGCTACCAAAGAGGAAATGGTAGTGTGTTGACACAGAATCTACATGCGATTCCAAAGTCTCAGGTACACGATCAAAAATATACTGCTGAAGAAAAGGGACCATACATTAATCCCTAGGATAAGGGGATGGCAAATGAACCAGGGACAAGGCCGCATCCCGACACAGAAAATCCCAACAACAGAGAAACCACGTGTGTAAAGCGAGAGCTGAAGACAACAATCTAGCCAATTTGGACGTAATAAGGGAGTGGCTTTCCCTCGAAAAGAAGCTGGATGGTAGAAAAATACTGTAGAAGGAAATAAATGGTAAGACGAAGGCGGGAAAACTGGGTATGGGTTAAACACACAGGAAAATCAGGAACAACCCCCACACACAGGTTAAATCGACCCCAACTGTTGATAGTTGAGAAACGGATAGTCAGCCTGATGGTAAGCTAATGCAAACTGATCTATAGCCCGTAGAGGGCAAGGCATGCTGGCACTTTCAACTACTTGTGAAGCAAATTGCTTAGCATGAACCCTAATATCCTAGAAGGGTGGGAAATTTAAATATGGAGAGAAAGGACTAGTGTGCAACAAAGAAGGGCGAGGATCATATGAAATTGGGGAAATGGATAAAACATCACACATCTGAGAAATCATGTCTAAAATTGTGGTATTAGGCCTAGCTGATTCTGCAGGTGTACACAGAAAGACACAGCAAAATCCAGTGGTGGAAAAAGGCTATCAAAATCTTCATCGGCCTGAACAGGTTTGGCTTGCTCAGGAGGAAGTAGGAAAAGTTCAGGAAGAGGAGGTTGACTCATATAACGATCAATCTCACCGCGAATAATCACAGATAAATCCAACAATGTGTCTCCCCTTCTGTGAAATAGTGCTTGTAGGAGGTATGATACTTGAGTTGGTAACATGAGCCTCAGAATTCATTGTAGAAATATATATCAAACAAAAGTGTTTGGTGTAAAAAATGTGAGTGTGAGAAACAAAAAACAACAACAAAGACTGAGAAATGAAGTTAAATACTTCTTCAATGTAAAGAAAAAAATTAATGAAGAAATTCCACTTCGGAAATTAAACAATTTGAGTTCCGAATGAGAATCACATGAAAAGCACCAAAAGAAAAATTGTCTGAACATGAGTACTGCCAAACGAGAAGTGATAGTTCAATAGAATTGAATAGAGGGAGTCACATGCGTCATGAGAGTATGTCCCACTGATATTGGTGGAGGATTGTTGCATGATGATTTGCATGAGATGCATTGGAATCAGTCAATTTCAATTGAAGGGAGATAAAAAGCTTGTGGCGTGCATAAAAAAAATTTGCATATAGAAGACAGCACTGAACAAGAATAGCTTTTATGTGAATGGAGGTAATGTATTGTATCAGAACTACATGAATTTACTACATCTACTAACAAGGTTTGTAGATTAGTAGTATCTGAAGTATCCATATGAAATCCCATGAACATACTATGTCTACTAAACAAGTGGATCAGTAGTATCTCAAGTATTCACATGAAACCATGTGAAATTACTATGTCTACTAAATAAGTGATTAGTAATATCCAAGTATCCATAAGATATCACATGAACTTACTACATCTACTAAGTAAGTGGGTTAGTAGTATTTCAAATATGCATGAGATTGCATAAGAACTTACTAAACAAGAGTACTTAAGTTCCTAAACAAATATATGAAGACATCATGTTAGCTTACCATGTCCACTAAAGAAATGTACAGAAACATTCCTCCAGCTAGGGCAAAAATGTATGAACTTCCTTCTGCCAGGTCTCCTACAAGAATGCCAAAGACAAGCCCAATATAACAGGTACAGGCTGAAAGGAAGTTGTACATTAAAGCCTGACGCATGGTCATTCCAGCATTTAGAAGTACAGCAAAGTCCCCTGTCAAAGAGTGAAAGAAAGAATCTGATTAACTTAAATCCATTTCTAAATATGCACAGATATATATTTCTGGTCTAAGAACGTTTATAATCATGTACAGATATACTTCTTAGTATTAGCTTAAGAATGTTTATAAACATGCACATGTTTACTTCCTAGTATTGGCTTAAGAAAGTTTGTAAACATGCACAGATACACTTCCTAATATTGGCTTAAGAATATTTATAAACATGCACATGTTTACTTCCTAGTATTGGCTTAAGAAAGTTTGTAAACACGCACAGATACACTTCTTAGTAATAGCTTAAGAATGTTTATAAACATGCACAGATATACTTCTTAGTACTGGTCTAAGAACGTTTATAAACATAC